TTAAAACCCTTCCAATTTAAAAAAATAAATAATTAAATTGTCTCAAAATTTCAATATATTCATATATAATATTACCAATGTTTTACCCCTTAACCCCATTGGGACAGAGAAGATCCCCTCGGGAATTATTATGCTAGATTATCAAAATATTGAGACATTTAGGATTGTACCGGTTCGAGACAATCAACAGCATTTATTTTTATAATGTTACTTTTTTGATGATTAAATTCGATTTTAATTGTTCAAAATCTATTGAAAAGAAGATGTGTTCTTATAATAATTGGTGTTTTGATAATAATGACATGTGTACCATATTATGTGACAATATTAATGAGTATAATATAACTGTATAATGAAACCGTATGTTTTATATCTATCTATATATATAATTCACCAGAAGAAGTAGGGCAAACAAGACGCAGGCTATAAATAGATACGTCAGAGCAAGCAAGCAAGACACAGGCAAACCCTCCCCTCGCTTCCCTTGCCTGCGCACCGCTGTGGAGCTACCGCCCCCCTCCTGCACCACCCTCGCTTGCCAGCCAGCTCACGGCGTATGCTAAGCCGCGGGTCGGCGTGAAATAAAAAGAGTGCCATGATGTATCATGAAAAAAGGGGGGAAGGGGTGTATCGAAATTGGCATTCGTAAATGTGCGTAACTTAAGTTCACGTTTTTGTCAAGTAACTTTAGTAGATGGGAAGTTCACGCATTGCTGTCGCCAATGTTTGGCGGGCTACATCTAGTATATATAATTCGTCAGCGAAACTAGGGCAAGACAAGAAGACAACGACGCAGGCTATATATAGAGCCCTCTCTTTCCTTGCCTCTCGCTTGCCTCTCGCTTGCCAGCCATGCGCACACCCCAACAAGCTCGCGGCGTCGTATGCTAAGCCGCGGGTTGGCTATATTTATAGAGTTCATGGACGTGAAATAAAAAGTGTGCAGTGACGTTTCCATGAAAAAAAAATGGGAGGGGGAGGGGTATCGCAAAATTGGCATTCTTAAAGGTGCGTAACTTGAGGTCACGTTTTTGTCAAGTGACTTTGGTTGATGGGAAGCTCACGCATTGCTGCCGAAAATGTTTGGCGGGCTATATCTAGTTATTTATAATGTTACAGTGGGTACAATTGAATTTCATTGATGTGACAGTGGGTAAATTTGTATTTCAAGGTAGAATTTGGATCGTTTTATGCCGGATTTTGTATGCCATGTTAGAAATGAACATGTTGTATTTTGTAGCTATTTAATAATTTTAAAAAAAATAATAATAAATTTAAAAAAATAAAATATATTGATTTCCCATGAGTAATTTAATTTCAGCTCAAGTGGATAGATATATTTTAAAATAATTATTGCCTCGTTCGACAATAAAATTAATACATTTTTAAAAACGTTTTTCATGCATGTCAGGTATAACCGATTTCAACCCAGCCATTCTGCTAAGCGTTTAGTTACATATTTATATTTGTTCTGAGAGAGCTGCACTGGCTGCCGGTCCAATGCTCGCATAGAGTACAACATTGCAACTTTGTGCTACCGCTGCTTACATGACCTGGCGCCGTCTTATCTCAAAGCACCCATGACACCTTATGTACCCCACTAGACAACTCCGCTCATCCGAGAGTTGCGAATTCTCGACACCACGTTTTCGCCTTGAGACTTACGGAAAGCGCACTTTCGCATTTGCTGGTCCAACAATTTGGAACGCCATTCCTGTCGCTCTCAGAAACAACCAGACACTGGAGTTTTTTAAAATCAATTTAAAGACACATCTATTTCGCAAACACCTTCTGGGATGATTGTCTACCATTTTTTTTCAGTTAATGCATATTGGCTGTGTTGCTTAGGGTTGAAATGGCTAGAAAGACTTTGACTTGGTATGCTTGTAATTAGTTTTTGTAGTGTTGCGTTTGTTTTAAATGTGGTAAATTATAGATTTGTTTTTTTGTTGACATTGTACCGCGCTTCGAGCCTTTGGGGATGAAGCGTGTTTTTGAAATAAACTTTATTATTATTATTATTACTATTATTATTATTATTATTATTATATATATATATATATATATTACAGAGTTAAAAAAAATGTTGACCACTTGTCATGAACTACAAAGACACGTCTGTACAAGCAATCTCAACACCAACCACTTTTAAATATTTTAATATAGTTTTTTCAAAAATTATTATAATGTACATTTTTATTTTAAGCACGAAGATGAATATTCTAACCAAGATAACATTTTAAAATTAGAACAATTTAAACACAAGGCATCTAAATACAAGACATCTAAACACAAACAATCTAAACATAAGACACCTAAACACAAGATTTCAAACGTTTTTTCTCAAGCACATTAAGTAGCCTTGGGAGCACAGCTGCCTAGTAAACCTTTACCTTGGTCCGGGAGCTCATGCCTCTCATTCGTCCATATATTCAAAGACATTATCCAAATGCTGCGCTGGATCTTGCAGTTCGAAGATTCACCTCATCATCATTGGTTACAGTGTGCTGCCAGCCAGGGTAAGAAAAGCTGCTCACAACCTTTAGCCTTTCCACATGTTGGACTAGATGTGAGGTGTTCGTGAAACTGGTTAGTACAGAACCTCAGTATTCATTGAGTTAATGGTAAGACCAAAGTTTGTGCAGGCATCCAAGAAGTCAGCAACACTGCACGGTACATCGGAATTTGATTCAGCATTGAGGACACTGTCACCTGCATACAAAAAGTCCATAATGAAGTCGGTCCGGACTTTCAACTTAGCGTTTAGTGTCTTGAGGTTAAAAACATCACCTTCAATTCCGTATCTGATGCCAATTTCAATGGCTCCCTCGCTGAAAGCACTAGACAGCATGGCAGAAAACACGAGGCTAAAAGTGCCAGGAAGCAGCCTTGTTCTACTTCATTAGACTCAGAGAATGTTTGAGAAATCTCTCCATTTTCCTAGACCATAGCCTGTATACTATCATGAAATTGACGAAGTATTGAAATGAATTTTTGAGGAATCCATATTTGACCCTGTGATCTTCCCGACACCTTCTCTGCTGACATTGTCAAAAACCTTGGTTATGTCCACATAGGTGGAGAAGATGTCAAAAAATCTTGTTCCTGAAACGTGTCCTGCAGTTGTCTGGCCGCGAAAACCATGTCGATGGTTCCACGCTCTTTGTGAAAACTGCGTTGACTTTCTGGCAGTAGACCATTCTCAAGGTGGAAATGCTGTCCGGGTTGGTCAATTGATTTCTGGCACGGAAGGTCTTAATCTCGCCACGCATCATCCTAACAAGGAAAATTTAGAATGTAAGCACAGGATAACTTTTCAACAACACGTTTGCCATAGATTTAATATTGTACAAAACAAAACCTTGTCTGTTGGGCAAAAAAATTCCAAGCAGCGACATAAAACATTAATTAATAAATTAAATACAAAATAGATTTTCTGAACTCGACTTATAATAAACTGTACAATTATATCAATAAAACCACTCCGGCTGATTTTAAAATACATCTTTTTTACTATTAATCTGTATGAAATGGCTGAGATTCCCAGGTTCTAACGTCTAAAAATTCTAAAATAAAGATAAACTGAAGAAAACATCCCTCCTATTTCAAGAAATACAGTTGACAGAATTTTAATTAAACTTTACCCACGCCCGTTGTATATATATATATCTATATATGCAAGTGTTATTGTGTGAAAATGTCCATTATATTCCCGGGCTAAAGCTGCCTCCTTAGGAAAAAAACCGAAAGTCCATGTCCCAAACAGTTTTGAACTATTTCTATATTTCAACAACAACAAAATCTAAAAAAAAAAAATTTGAAAATTTCGGGCTTTAGTGTTTAATTGGCCATTAAATAATTGTCATAATTCCAACACATAAATGAGAACTTTTAATCAAAATATTGTTTTTTTACATTATTCAGTTGTTAGTCTTATTTTTTTATTTCATATGGAGCTACCACAAAGCAAAGGAAAAGCTGCAACGACAAACAAGTGCCTGATGCCATTCTTTCCCCGAATAGAAAGTCATGGTTCGTGGACAGAGTAGGGCCCTCTAGCAATCTATGACATATTGAGTCATGATTTGTGCACAGAGTAGGGCCCTCTAGCAATCTATGACAGATTGAGTCATGGTTTGTGGACAGAGTAGGGCCCTCTAGCAATCTATGACAGATTGAGTCATGATTTGTGGACAGAGTAGGACCCTTTAGCAATCTATGATAGATTGAGTCTTGATTTGTGGACAGAGTAGGGCCCTCTAGCAATCTATGACAGATTGAGTCATGATTTGCGGACAGGTTTGGGCCTTCTATTGAACTATGCCAGAATAAGACATGACAGAGTTGGGCCTTCTATCAATCCACGCCAGAAGAAGTCGTGACAGAGTTGGGCCTTCTATCAATCCACGCCAGAATAAGTCATGACAGAGTTGAGCCTTCTAGCAATCTACGCCAGAATAAGTCGTGACAGAATTGGGCCTTCTATCAATCTAAGTCAGAATAAGTCATTACACAAGAAATACAATAAATAAATTGGGTACTGATATATTATCTCTGCGATTTATGGATAAAGTACTGCTGAGCCATCCCATATGAAAAAAAAGTTTGAGAAGCCCTGAACTTAACAATGTCAGGGCCATGCTACCTGTAGTATGTCATATCTGAGTTTGACTTCATTGAATACCTGAAAGACCTGTCGTAGCATCAACATCTGACGTTTATACAAGAGGACATGATTGTGTGGGGAATAAAGAGTAAGTGCCCTTGATGGTTAGGTGCAGTCACTGTACCATTAGGAAAGGACCAATAGCCGTACCTTCACCCCGATTTTTCAAGTGGGCCTAACTCTTGAAACCTAGATTATCTACTTTGTGTCTTCGCTTGTCTACTCATGTTCAAGGACTCCACCTCCCCCAAAAAATCCACATGTTTTAAGACAAAATTTTGATGTTTGACCAAAGTGGAGTGCTAAGTTTAATAGCCAGTCTTTGAAATAGTCAGTTGGTTGTTTTATTCTGTAGTTTGGATGCAGAAACGTAGTTCGTTGTTTATTCTGTAGTTTGGAAACAGAAAAGTAGTTCGCTGTTTATTCTGTAGGCTGGAAACAGAAATAATTAGTTTTTAAGGTAAGTTGGAAACATCAATAAATAGTCCGATGTCGGAATATGACGCTGTTTATTCTGCAGGCTCGAACATAAATCATTGGCTCTTTATTTGCCAGCACTGAGACATAAACAGTTTTTGTTTATTCTGTAAGTTCTAGATATAAATAGTCCATCATTTAGTTGTCAAGTCTGAGATATTAATGACGCGTGGTCCATTCAGTCGTTGTAAGTTGTAAAGAGAGCATTTTTCATGATTACGTAATGCGTTTCATCTGCAGGTTTATGTTGTTAGTTCAAATAAGAACTGAATGATTCCTTGTACGCTTAAAAACAATTGCTTCACTTCAGTTCAACCTTTCCACCCCCCCCCCCTTTTTTTTTTCCCATTCTCAAATTCTTCTTAAGTTCAGGTGCTTAAACAAAGAATAACCACGTTTTCCTGGTATACTGGAATGTTTTATTTATTTACTCTCCACAGAGAGAAACATTTTTTTTTGTTTGAAAGTATCCAAAATTGGTTGTGTGAATTTTCAACGTCATGTCAGGAAGGAGAAAATGCACGTTAATGTTGTTGCTATTGTCAGGTAAGAGTTTAATTAACACATGTTAAATGTTTTTTGATATTGTCAGGCTGGAGTTAAAGATTTTGCGATGGTCAATTTGATGACTTAAGCTTTGTAATTATATCCAATCATCTTTGGGTTTACATCCAATCATCTTTTTGTTTATACCCACTCATCTTTTGTTTATATCCAATCATCTTTAGGTTTATATCCAATCATCTTTAGGTTTATATCCAATCATCTTTAGGTTTATATCCAATCACCTTTAGGTTTATATCCAATCACCTTTAGGTTTATATCCAATCATCTTTATGTTTATATCCAATTATCTTTATGTTTATATCCAATTATCTTTATGTTTATATCCAATCATCTTTAGGTTTATATCCAATCATCTTTAGGTTTATATCCAATCATCTTTATGTTTATATCCAATTATCTTTATGTTTATATCCAATCATCTTTGTGTTTATGCCCAATCATCTTTGTGTTTGTATACAATCATCTTTGTGTTTATATCCAATGGATGTCAGAAGTTGATACACAATATCTCAACTGTTGAAATGCTGTCGTGTGGCCCAATATTTCTAAATAAACTATTATACGCAGATTATATACCGATGGGATTTTTAAGGCTGGCGTATGTTTCATGAAAAGATGTGTATTTAATATGTTAAGTCTGTTTAACATATAGTTTTATTTTAAAACATCTCTGGCAGACGTGTTGATGACGTCATCGAGTCGGTGTTTGGTGGACAAGTGTATGGTACCAGATGAGCGAACTCTATCGGAAACGTGTGCGTAAGTATAATAGAAGATGAGTCGCACTATAACTAGTTGTCTGCCATTGTCATATCAAGTTGTCTTCTCTTGTCAACATAAAAAATTGTCTTCTCTTGTCACATCTCATATCGTCCTCTGTTGTCATGTCACTAGCTGTCTTCCCGTTTCTTCTTATTATATTTGAGGGGCCCACAATCAATGTGTTGATCATTCTGGCTCCTGGTTTAAATTCAGAGTTTGCCTTCTCCTAGATTCATGTCATTAGTTTTATTTTCTTGCCATTCCAAAAAGTACATACACTACTTGGCATGTTATAGCTTTCCATTGTTTGTAATATCACTGACTGTCTTCTCTTGGTCTTATGTGCGAGTTATTTTCCCTTTTTATCATTTCCCTAGTTGTCTTCTCATGCTGCAACGTCACAAGTTGTCTTCTCTTGGAAAAAATATAATTAATTCTATATCAAATTCTGATCTAAGTTTCCAGAAAACACAATCTCACAAACAGCCGAAACAATCCTATCGTTTTTGTGTAGTTAACATTAAAATAAACGAATGCATGTTTCGTATAACAGGGGACTACCGTACCCGACAGAAGAACGCACCTGACACACCTCTTTTAAGGGAATGAACCCCACACATTTTGTTAAAGCAACCTATTGACTGGGCCATCTTAGAATCTAAAAAAAGATCATTACTAAATAATGATTGTTATGAGACTAATATATTTAATTTATATGTTAGAAATGAAAGGAACTAAGACGCCTGTTGTCTAAGTATGTATTTATTAAGGTGAAGATTTGTTCTTATTACGATTCCTATGAAGATGAGTGTGATTACGATTCCTATAAAAAATGTGTATTATTACGATTCCTATGAAGATTTGTTCTTATTACAATTTCCAATCTCGATGCCCACAGGCAAACTGTCGTCTTTGTCGAGTGTTTGAACGTGACCATCGTCCAGAACGACCAGTGTGACGATGACCTCAGGCTCGCGTGGAGGGGCACGATTGAGGCCATCACGGCGACCCTCGTCGAAAACAGATGCCAGAACAATTACAGTTAAGTCTCGATAGCCAGGCCACGCAATGACGCCATCAGCTCACCTAAAGTTTAATGAAACATGAAAGATATGACAGACTGTAATGGAAACCTTTAACTATTTATGTGATTACAAATTCCATATACTCAAAAACGTAATAATTCAAGATTTATTAAAAATTAAAAAAAAAAAAAAAATAAAAAAAAATATAAATAGCACAAAAGTAACCTTTAAAAAAATAATAACAAAAAAAAAATAAAAACGTAATAATTAAAAATTTATTAAAAATTAAAAAAAAAAAAAAAATCAAAAAAAATATAAATAGCACAAAAGTGACCTTTAGATAGATTGTCACACAACAAAGACTGTCATATTATCCAACATGTCACATTAATGGAATAGTCACTTTAAATTACGTATGACATTACGCGAGGCACCTTATCACATGTGGTGTCACAAAAATCAAAAGCTAGTAGAATTTAATGTAATTAATTATCATCACACTTGTCCCACTCCTCAGGTCACGCAAGATTTGACCACCTGACGTATGTGTACCTAGGACTGACCCTCACTATCCTGCTGCTTACCACGATGTAAAAAGCTGAGCACATGAGCCTGAATCACCGCAAATATTCTTGGAACAATGTTGTCTATCTTATTTAAATTATATTTTCTACAACAGTTCTGTTTAAAGAAACTCAAAAATGTGATGTGTTGTAAAAGAACAGGGCCTTAATCAGGGCTATTGGGCACAGAACACAGAGTTCGCGGTGGCGTAGGAAGCCAAAGGCAGAGGCGGGCCATCCACACTTGCAGCACTTTTTTTCTGATATGGAGTGGTAGAATTTTTTTTGCGAACTGCAGAGTTTATAAAATCCCGCTCCGGGCGGCACTGACCCTAACCACGCCACTGAGTGGACACTTCATATGAGTCTGATCTTAGGTTGTGGATCGCTGCAGCAATCGATTGCAATGTGGCGACTCGAGAAAATGTTGCGCTAAAATAATTCGCCAAACCTCTGTTTTTAGACATAATATGTTTACAAAATTCACGTACATGGCGCAGAATAGCCATATCTTATAATATCTTATAAGTTTGTTTTATCTGTTTATCTATTTTGTAACTTACTATAAAGAAGTATATAATTTATATTTCATAGAATTTTTATAGTAACTAATTGAACAACTAGGTAAATTAATAAAAAGGTTTTTCTATGACATTTACTTTAGAATCGCACACAACTTAAAGCAAAGCCTTGGGTTGTGTGTCTCAGCAAGTCTTGACATGACCTAGTTGTGTCTCAGCAAGTCTTGACATGGCCTAGTGTCTCAGCAAGTCTTGACATGGCCTTGTGTCTCAGCAAGTCTTGACATGGCCTAGTTGTGTCTCAGCAAGTCTTGACATGACCTAGTTGTGTCTCAGCATGTCTTGACATGGCCTAGTGTCTCAGCAAGTCTTGACTTGGCCTAGTGTCTCAGCAAGTCTTGACTTGGCCTAGTGTCTCAGCAAGTATTGACTTGGCCTAGTGTCTCAGCAAGTCTCGACATGGCCTAGTGTCTCAGCATGTCTTGACATGGCCTCGTTGTTAGGTTGGCGTCAAGAGTCCTCACGTATCTACCATCGAATGATAAAGAAACAAAAGTAAAGTGTGGGGCTGTGAGTTCAAAGGTCAATGTCACTAGAAGGGGAAAAAGGGGGGGGGGGGTGGGTCTTTATTTTGCTTTTTAATGGTAGTCAGTTGGACATAAATCTAATTATGAATAAACTTCAAGGCAAACTTCCCCGACGAGCCACTGGCAACTTGCTCATTACCTACAAATAAATCCCTTTAAACTAAAATGGTTGGCGTCAAGAGTCCTCACGTATCTACCATCGAATGATAAAGAAACAAAAGTAAAGTGTGGGGCTGTGAGTTCAAAGGTCAATGTCACTAGAAGGGGAAAAAGGGGGGGGGGGTGGGTCTTTATTTTGCTTTTTAATGGTAGTCAGTTGGACATAAATCTAATTATGAATAAACTTCAAGGCAAACTTCCCCGACGAGCCACTGGCAACTTGCTCATTACATACAAATAAATCCATTTAAACTAAAATTACAAAGAAATCGATCCAGTCAATGTATTTGAATTAATAATTATATCTCTGAGACAGTGTATCTTTATTCATCTACAAGTCAGTATATCTCACGAATCTCTATTTTTATGTAACTATATTTGTAATTTAAATCAATTTATTTGTCCTTATATTTTCAAGTAAGTCAATCAATAATTAGTTTTCTTTGTTGAAATTACGTAAGTAAAAGCGCATGATTACAGTCTGGTTAAGAAAACCCAAATACAAAAATTTGAAAGATGGAGTCCCATAGGCAGTATTGCATTGAATCAATTAAAATTCCGGCAATTCCTGCAACCTCACTGGTGTTAAGCTGTATAGTCCACTTGATTTTCCCATGAGCTCTACACCTGTGTGGGGACATACACTTAGATTGAAACACTAACAGCATACACTCATAACAGAATCACAAGTCATGTGGCGTCTGAACCTCCAGCGAAAATCACATTCTTATATCCTGATGGTTGGGGTGCCCAAAAAAATTTTTTTTTCTTTTTAAAAGTGTCATCCAGTATATACCTATAAGTCTACCTATAGTCAAGATATGATACCTCCATATACCCCTAATGCGACGATCACGCTGGATCCTTATTTCACTGAAACTCAAGACTTAGTTACTGCCTACGTCGTGATAGGTTACCGTAACGCTCATGACATTTAACCAAAACTTAAAGGTAAAATTATATTTTAATTAGCGTAATAGCCTTTTCTTTTAAACCAAGTTATTTTCTTGTTAGAATTTTGCCAGTTATTATCAACAGTGAACATTATCTTGATTTCAGTCCTAAAAATTCAACACTGTTTTGTTCACAAAGTATGGGTAAAAATATTGCTACTTTGACTTCAAGATCGATTAAATTAAAAAAAAAATTCAAACTACAATATTATATCTCAACCTCATATTAGATTTTTAGGGGAATTCATTACTAATATCATTGGATTCGGCTGTTAGGTCTTATTGTGCCACTAGGTAAGTTGAAGGTTACCCGTTAGCAATCAAATTATTTCTGCACGCGTCTCAACAATGAGTTAAAAGACAACAGTTACCTTCATATAAACATAAAGGGACCTTTCCCAAGATGTAACAGTCCCTCTCATTCGACATTTAAGTTTTTTTGTTTTCTTAGTGGCATGAGTCATTCAGCCGACATAGCTGTGTTGTTGTTGTTGTTTTTTTTCTACACGCGGGCCAACTTTCCAAGCACAAAAAGGACCTACAACACCATCAATTGTATGCTTTTTTAGTTAACACCTCAGTATATCATGTACAGAATTTTTTTTTATTCCTAAATTTCTCATAACTTTTTCAAAGAAAAGTTATTTTAATGGTGATAACTAAAAATAGCTTTCATAGTCTTTTTTTCTTCCTTTCTTTGTAGAGTTAGCGAAAGATTATGTGATGCTTAAAAAAACGGTTTAAAGCACATTCAAAGTTAGCCGCCACCTTTTGTTTGGTTAGTATGGCCTGACATTGACGTCATCGAGTCAACGTGCTGTGTCACTCCTTCCTTGTCCACGCCTTTTTCGGCTGTCAAGGCTGTTTACATTCGAATGTGTCCTATTTTTAAAAAAAATCTAAAATGCCATTATATGACGCAATTTATTGAATTTCTGTACTAGATTGTTTAAATTTGATTTCTATATAAAGGATGCATGCTTTCTTAGCTGCGAGACATAGAGAGACAGGGCAAGACATTTATATAGAAAGAGCGAGGGAGAGATTATATTTATGTAAATATATATATATATATATATATATATGTATATATATATATATATATATATATATATATATATATATATGAGACGTTTTATAACTGTTAGTGTACAGTGCAAGACAAAATGTATGATGATACCAAATAGCTCATAAAAACCTTTCATTTATATTTTGGATGCAGTTTTGAAACATAAATCCCCAAAAAGCTAAATCCCCTCTTCATACAGTAAGGTAGCGGTTTTTTTATTCACATGTTCTTATATTACAGCAATAAATGTCAAAGTTTTTTTGAATGAAAGAAAACAAAATTCCTGTGTTTTATTTCCAGACACCTTTAAAAAAATTCACTAAATTTTTACGCCTTAAGCGACAGGCGCCCGACGTCATCAAAGCCAAGACAACTTTTGTGCGTGGTTTCTGCTTGTCTAACTGTCACCACTTGTCGTGACAAAGATTAGCAACATCATCTTAAAGGAGCAGCTTTTTAAATCTGAAAACAAATACAAGACTATTGATAAGCACGTGTTTTCAAGCGACACACCTACACCTTCTTGCGACACACTACTGTGTCGTGGCACAGTTCTAAAAAGCATGGCATCGGAGAGAAAAAGTGCTGCCTTTACTTGGAACAATTAGCTGTGTCGGAGAATACACGCCTGCAATGATCTAGTTCCATTTGATTGTATCTAGCGCAGGTCATCATGTTTAATACACTGTGAGGTCAAGCACCCCTTCGGGCACAGGCTCAGAATTATGTCCCAAAGCATTATTTGATGGTTCGGAAACGATACAAAACCATCCTGATATGGCAATATTAAGGTTTTGACCATTGCTTATTAAATATGCAAATTAAAGCATGTGTACAAAAGTACACACTGTACATCAAGGCACTAAAATAAAAAAAACACATAATGACAACATGATAATTTCAGAAATCCATTAAAATTATGAACACAAGCCAAAGTTTGATTATTTAAATAATCCAAACAATTATCCTTAAAGTATTATATTATATTTTCTGATGCATATGACAGCAAAATGCGTCAAATAAATGCATACATGTGTAGAAAGTAGAGGAGATACACCATGTTCTACGACCTTACATCCTTCTAGTTTGCACCTTTGGCCTGACCCTTGGATTCAGAGGGGAAAATGACCAAACTGATCATATCGGACCTCTGAGACTGGTCTCTCTGCAGCCTTTACACGCTTTGGAGACGGAATTACAGTATCTAAATCAGGGTCTGCTTGCACTGAGTTACCAAGACCTTCTAGCGCTCTGGGTATACCAACAATTTCGCAAAGCTGTGGTGTGACCAATCATGCTTTCATCAACGTGTCTGCAACCTCGCTTCTGAAACTAAGAATATATTCAAACTATTTTTTAGGTGTACCATTTTGAATTTCAATGTCACGATGCTCTAACCCTAAATTTTAAAGTGCGAATTCTCTAAAAGGAAAAAACAACAACATTTGAACTGACCATTTCCTTGTTTAAACTTTAAACCTATACTTTGAAATAAAATAGTCCATTTTGCCAATCCGCCCAGTGGAAAAATTATCAAAACACATTTCTTAGTTGTTGTGTTTTCCTTCCGAGGAAAGATTTGTGCAAGACGGAGAACAACTGAGGCGCCAAGTCCCAAATGTTTTATTTTTTTATTTTCAGGAATTCCTGTTCCTGCTCCTTGATAAAGTTCAAAATCTATGGCTCGTCCAGATTTACCAACTATAACGAAATGGTTCACTTCTTCTGGAGTCGGTTTGCCTTTAATAGATTGTTTTGCAGGCACTTACTGACTCAGCCTCTGAATGGAATCATTTTCTCGTTGACTGAATAAAATTCCTTTCTCGGCAGCTGTAAGCAACGGGCTCTTATTGCCTCAAGGATGGGGTGAATTTTCCAGAATTTATTTTGCTACTCGCGTGGCTGAGGTTTTTCTCCAGCAAAAATGTGTCTGCTGTTTCGAAGCATTATATATAAGCATCAATTCTGCAACTGAACTGATTCTGGTGGCTTTTTTTTTTTGTCAATTACATTCTAATCCTTGGAAATTTTAAGTTAGCCATGATGAAAGAAATCGGAACAAAATGTACATTTCATCAGCCGTCGTATTTAATAACGTTTTACCGTTTTCATAGGCTGATATTTATTTGTTTGCTCCACACATTTTCAGCCTTGAAATATTTCAACAAATTTGGCAAGGAGATGAAGATACAATTTCAATATCAAGTTTATCTTTCCA